CGGTAAGATGCCGCTTGAATTAGCGCCTGGCGACCTTATCCACTATTGCATTACCTCTTACCAGCACTAAAAGAAACAGGTACTAACAAAAATAAGTAGGTAGTGATGTTCATGTATCTCTTTACTGTATAAACTGCTTTGTATGTATGCCATTGCTAGCAAACTAAACCAGAAACTGTCTACATTCACCATGGAAATATACCTACTACAATTCACCAAGGAAAGGCCAAAATAGTTCCATGTAGAAGCTCATAGCTCACACACATAGCACAAAGCTCGATTTGGTGTTTAATGCATGTCCTCGCCGGCAGAACTGCTTCCACTTTTTCGCCAGGTTTGCGTTCGTAGGAAACGAAAATAAAACTTATATAGCACGCTTTCCTTTTGTTTTCACTATTACACTTTGCCACTACACGCTTCATTTTGCTCTTTAATGTCTCAATAATTGTTTAAAACCACGCAGAAATATTAACGCACAAATATTAAAATTGTACTTTGGTTTTTTCGTATGCTCACATTCAACAATTGCACCAAGATGACGTCACGCACACAGCTCATTCTGTCAAAATCACAAAGAGCGGATTAGCGGTACCGCGATTGGCGCAATCTCTATTTCTCTCAATCGTGCATATTACGCAAATACCTCGCAAATCTACTCATTTCTAAGGATGTGCCGCGTATCCAGTAGATATCCGGAATCCGGCTTATCCTTATTTTTTTCTGTTATCCGACTATCCGGCCGGATACTGGCTAAACTTCGGCCGGGTTTCCAGATTTCGATTATAGAAGATTCTATTTAAAAATCTAGTTGATAAGTCGGGAAGCGAAACGATATGTAACCATGCATATTAGATCGATTTTTGTTCCATTTTAAAATAAATAGAAATCGATCAAACGTTTTTTCTTAGCGCCGTTTATTGTTGTTTATCCTTTGTCTTTGACGTTTCTTCTATATTTATTTATTTATTTAGTAATTTTTTTAATGCAGGATTATATGATAACTTGGATTTCGGAGAAGAAATTTTGTATTCCTAGTAACGTATTCAGCTTGAAAAAGCAGATAATCTAGCTAAACAAAAAAAACCTAATATGAAAATATTGTGAAATTTATTAAGGGCAACAGTCTACCGGATATACGATCAGATATCCGAATCCGGCTTTTATTTTTTACAGGATATCCGGAATCCGGTTATCCGGCACATCCCTACTCATTCCCATTAAATTAATCACATGTTTCTTATTATGTATATACCAACAGTGTTGCTTAAGTAGCTAAAAGGAAATTTTACCCTACTTGAGAGTTCTTTGTCGCTCGTTTACAAAAGAATGCAGCTACAGATATGCATGTAGGAACATATCCACAAGTATACATACATATCGTCGATTAAAGTACAAAACCGCGTATCAACAAAATGCAAAACCGCGTATGTAAATTATGTAAATTATCTTCTAGAGAGTAAAAAGACTCAAATTTCAAAATAGTTCTCTTTTTTATGAAGCAATCGCATACCTGGCCAGTATATTTCAGGACGAATAAATAAGGATTGAGCCTGTGGCAGCAACGGTAAGTTACACGGTTTTGCAGAATGACGATACGCGGTTTTGTACTTTAAACGACGATATATAGATACATTGGACTGATTCAAAAAAAAAAAAAAACAACATTTTTTTTAAACCCTCTCTTTAGCCTCCGGGGGGATGTCAAAAGATGCCTGTTAAAAGCGCAACCCTTAATTTTAAATTTAAGAAATCACGCATCGCGGATTTCTATTTCACGTATAAATTACTTTGGAAAAATTTGTTTTCAAATTTGGAATTTGTTTTCTAATCTATGAATTATCGAACTGAAAAGTGCGATATATATTTTTGTAGGAAATTAGACGCTGTACAAAAACGCCTCGCATCATTTTGTACTTTTGTAATAAACTTACTGGTTTAAATAACGGTTATTCAAACTTAAAGTTAAATTTATTTCAATATTACTGTATTTTCTCCTATTTTAGGTAAAATAATTAAAATTATTATTATTATTAAATTAAGGCGGAGGTAAGAGAGGTTTATCAAAAAATTACACAGGCTAACAAAAATGGGAAACAATTTTGTAACCTAAAATGTTAACGCTGTTTTTGATAGACTTTTTATGCTGATTACGAATCCGTAAGTAAAAAATTTCCAGATTTTGAGAAAAATATGGTCAAAGTATCAAAAAATCTCGTTTTTGCAATATTTGAGAAGCCCTATCAAAAAAAAACAAAAGGTGATGGGACCTTACACTTCAGCTTAAATTAAAGCTAGAACTCTCGACTACTATCCCTGAAAATACCATTCGTGCACCTTGACTTGATGATCTCAGTTATTGAACAATAACAAAATACTGGAGTATTGTGCTATTGAAAGAAAGAAAATTGTGCTATAAGTGACCATCAAGTCGAGGTGCACAAATGTTTTCTCAGGGATATTAGTCGATAGTTCTAGCTTTAATTTAAGATGAAGTGTAAGGTTCCATCACCTTTTGTTTTTTTTCTAGAGCTTCTTAAATATTGCAAAAACGCGATTTTTTGATATTTTGACCACGTTTTTCCCAAAATCTAATGCTGACGGAAACTTTATACTTACGGATTCGTAATCAGCATGAAAAAGTCTATCAAAACAGCTTTAACATTTAAGGTTACAAAATTGTTTTCCATTTTTGTTGGCCTGTAAGAGACATTTTTTTGTAGAGCGTCTAATTTCGTACAAAGATATGAATCGCACTTTTCAGTTCGATAATTAAAAGACGGCCGCTGTGGTGTAGTAATGGCAAATCTCCGAGTGTATTTCTGCTATGAAAAATAGCAATCGCCGTCCGGAGTCGGCAAAAAACAGTAGGTCTGTCCCCTTTGTGTGACAACATCAAGGCTCATACCACAAATCGGAGGAGAAGCTCGGCCAAACACTTACATATGTATTAGCGCCAATCTATTGTTATTATTAATTCAAAGAGGAGAAAACAAATTCCAAAGTTGAAAACAATTTGTTCCTAAGTAATTTATGTATATGGAAAATACAAATCCGCGATTCGCGTCCTCATAAAATTAATATTAACGGTTTGTCTTTTGACATCCCCCGGAGGTATTGAAGAGGGGTTAGAAAAAATCCGATTTTTTGAATCAGTCTAATATATTTACATATACAGTGACGAGCAAAACTGTAACATGGTGTAACACTTTTTATTTCAGCCGCCGCTATATTTCCAAGTTCTAACGGCTTTCATCCTTTTGTTGTATATTCCTGTTGGTACATCGCCACTCCCTCTTTCATAACGATTTGAAGTCAATACAACAACAATAAAAAAACCAGCAGACAAAAATGTAAATTAAGGCAGATGTTACAGTTTTGCACTCACTCTCAGTTTTGCATTTGACAGTTATCTCTTACTTAGTTGGAAGTCAGATGACTTCTTTCTATATTGTATTGTATTGAAGAAGTGATCACGAGTAAATAACATAGAATCAGAAACCATAAATGTAAATAATAGATTTACTGTGGAAAGGCGGGACCGCACGAAAAGTGGCAAACAATTTTGGAATTTGCTACTTGAAAATGTTAAGACTGAGAGCAAATATAGCCTGATGTGTTCCCAAGGACAAAGGAAGTCTGTCAAAAAATATTACGGTACGATATCTTGTGAACTTAGCAGCAAGCAGCGATGCAGCCACTATTACAGAAGCGCTTAAGGTATTAAACTTTAATGCAAATCAATAGACAGCGAGGCGAAGAATTGCCAAATTGAGCGCAAAGGCATCATAAAGAAGAAAAAAGCAAATTTGTGCATAATACATGTGCGAGTGTGGCAGCATTTCGCTGCATCGCACGAAAACCGAACCGTTGCCTATTGGGATATGTTAGGCCTTACAGAATGCAATAAAATAACACATTCTTAAGTTTCAATTGAAGGTTATTTGGTCTGACAAGACTAAATTAATCGCTTTCAATCAGATGGCCGGGCATGGTATTGGATCAAAGACCCAAATTAAGCCCATGCGCATTATGTAAGGAAAACTGTTAATCACAGTGGTCGGTCAATAATAGTTTGGGGTTGTATTTAAAAAAATTTTTTTGTCCGTTAGTACGTATTATGCGTAAGGAACAGTATCTGTTCATATTTCAACAAAATTTGCAAGGTTTAGTCGAAAAAATGAGAGTTTCTGCTGAAAAATCACTCAAAACACACTGCACATGTTCACAAAGCCTGGATACAAAAGCAAAAATTTGCTAATTTCAAATGACCTCCACAATCTGCGGACATGAATCTCATCGAGAATTTGCGAAATCAACTAAAAGCACAGCTTAATAAGTATCAAAGTCCGTAATATCGAGTACATGAGCTGTGAAAGCAAACTAACGATATACCTCCAGAATTTTTTCAAAGATACAAATAAGGTATGCCAAATCGCATCCAGGAACTGAAACAAGCAAAAGATTACTGAACATTGTGTTAGTAGTTCTTTTTTTCCGTGAAGATTGTTAAAAAGTTCTTAAAAATATATGATTGCAAAACTGTAACATCTGCCTTTATTTACATTTTTGTCTGGTGGTTTTTTTATTGTTGTTACATTGACTTCAAATCATTATGAGAGAGGGAGTAGGGATGTACCAACAAGAATATACAACAAAAGTATGAAAGTCGTTAGAACTTGGAGAGATAGCGATGGCTGAAGTAAAAAGTGTTACACCATGTTACAGTTTTGCACGTCACTGTACATGTTCATATACATGTATGTACATACCCAGCCAGCAAAGAAACGTAAATTTTGCCGACAGTGCAGTTTAGTTATATTTTCCGTATCCGAAAACGCATACAAAAAAACTCTTACAGTTATCATACGTTTTCGTTCGAAAAAGGTGACATTTGAAAGCATGCATGCGTAGTCGTCAGTGGCTGAGCGTGTAGTGTGCCGCTATTTGTTAGCTTCCAGAAGTTGCCGGGTTCGAATTTTTTGCTGGCTGGGTACATACATACATACTTACGGTTTATACATATACCTTTATTTGTACAAATGCCGTTTCAGAATGTGGACCGCCTTATCAAGTGCGTCTACGCTTTCGGTGATAAAAAATTGCTACTGGTAAATGCACTTTTAGCCTTTATTAAAATTTTACGGACGTATAACGAAATGTATATGGGCAATTCTCACAAACTTTGAATTTTTTTGTGAAAAAAATTATTTTCGATTTCGAAAATTTTCTAAATATATACCTTTTTTATGCCCACGTCAACGATTGTACTAAGTGTGTGGTACAAATTGATAAATTGGTTTCCGAGATACGCATACAGTGAACCAAGTAAAAACTGGGACCGACAATTTAGTAAGTTTTGGCTATTTTTCTTTAGTTTATTTAATGTTTTATTGTTGTTTATTTTTTGTGAAAGTTCAGCTGATTACTTAACAAATATGACATAAATCCAAATTTCAGACTATGTGCCAAATTATGAAAAATCTGCAAAGTTTGACCAAAATTTCTAGCTTCTTGATCGGCATCTTTAGACAAAATTTTGGTATTCAGTTTTGTAGCCGCTGATTTTTTGCAATTTTGTTTGTTGACGGTGTTCCGCATTTTAAATTGCCAAAAATCAACGGTAAGTCCTAGCATCTACAGCCCAAGCCCTTTCATTTGACACCTCATTTCGGAAATCGAACGAACGGTGCAGATCTGATGATTTGGGCAAAAATTTCCTTTGGTTAGTATTTACATATATTAGTTTTTTTTTTGGGGTTTTTCTTATTTCTTTTTCGTTCTGTAAGATTTTAAGGAACAAATAAAAAGTGGTGCACGATGATCATAGTTCAATAGTATATTAGCACACACGTATATAATTGGCTAAATTTTGCAATTGCAGATAATGTGCTAATAAAAATGTGCATTTTTACTTTGGTGCACGCATCGTAACCAGTGTTGCCATTTTAGACGTTTTCCGGCTAGATTTAGCCGGTTGCGATAGCAAACAGCCGGAGAAATCACGATTTAGCCGGCAGCCGATTTGTTAGCAGTTTTGCAGAAAAAAATTAGCCGTTTTTAGCCGATTTTGCTATTTGCCTTGTTTTCTTAAATTTCAAATATGTATATATGTTTCCATTTTTGACTAAGCGACCCAAAATTTGTTAGAAATGGCTACTAGCCTTATCATGAAAAAATTTTCATGTCAGGCAGGGTTGTATGAAATTGGGCCGATTTCGCTTATTTTTATTTTAAACGAAGAAGGGATTTTCTTCATAAAATGTTTGTTATAAATGTCTTAATTTTAAGTTCGAAGTTTTATTCGCAAACTTAGAAAATAAGAAATTGTTTCACTGTTAAGACACTTAAGATGCGTTTGTGTTTGGATATAGTGCCAACAAATAATAGATCTTGTCTTCCCAGATAGCACATATTCAATTCTGCCTAAATTACAAAACATCATGCCCACTCCCAAAGGTTTAAGGTAAGGGAAAAATTTATATTTTCAAGCACTATGTACACATAGGTATTTTATTAAGCAAACTTTTTTGCTGAGTGCTTATTTAAATTACAAAAACCGAATGCCAACTTGAATTAAAGGAACCAGCACTGAAGTCAGTCAAAATGAAAATAAAAGAGCACAAATTTCTATGTAAAGCAAAAACTCTCTGGGAATCCTACGAGACATCTGCCGGTCATATGACCGGTCATCTAAATGGGAGATCTGCAAAAGTGGCATCATATTTTACATCAGAATTGAGGGGATTTCTGAAAAATTTACCAGTTCTTTTGTGTAATTGTGATTTTGCATCCCTTGTCAACATATGGCCTCGGTTGATGTTAACGGTCGTTGTTTTACTGCCTTAAAATTGAAGGGAAATTTTTACAGAGTTTTTTTATGTGTATTGGTTTCTATTTGAGTGTAGTGAGAATCGGTCAGTCCGAAAAGGCCTTGTAGGGAAGACAATAGGTTTGTTCGTCGAAAATCCAGCGAGAATTATCACTAAAAATATCAGATCGTAAGAAAAATGCTCCCAAATTCTCTCTCATGTAGAGAAACTTGCAATTTTCTGCACGAACGCAAATTTGCAAGTTTTTCTGTCAGCTAGTGTCCACGGTGCATTTCAAACAAAAGAAATTTGTATAGAATTTTTAAAATTCTTTCAGAGGGGCAAACAACAGGACCTACGTGTATATATCTTGTCAGTCCGACTTTCTTCAACATACGTTTCAATTTCTTTGTCGGGTTTACTATATCGACTCTGGTTGAGATTGCATTCCGATTAAGAATAGTTTTTTTTTACCGAGTACCTTTCAAATCATTGGAATTAACTAAATTAATTAATTAAACAAGTATTAACTTACATTTTTCATTTTAAAATCGCTCCAGTTTGTAAATTTTTAAATTTAACGAACTTGTTTATTCAAATTATCGTCGACAAAAATTCTTGCTGGCAAAATTTTTTCCGGCTCGAATTTGTAAATTCTCTCCAAGAAATAGTCTTTTTACTCGTGATTTATTTCAATAAAACTTGTGAAATTTAGTTGAAACATTTTAGCCGTTTTTAGCCGGTTTTATTTGCCAATTTAGCCGGTTCGTCCAAAAAGTTCTGGCAACACTGATCGTAACCTTTTAAATACGTGTTTTTTAACTATCTTCTAATGGGAGCACATAGGTCTGCCACGTTTAGATTGACTACTTTTATGCTCCAGGTCACTATGCAAGTTGTCCGATAACAGTGTTAAATATGTACGCACCTTTCGCAGTATACTATAAAATCCACGAGTAACAGAATTTCGAAAAAGGAGTCACGCTACTTTGACTCTTCATAACTTTTCTTATATTGCAAGCACATAATTCATACAGGTTGCATTCGATTCTGCTCTCCAAATACTATCACTTCCTGATAAACTTTAGGGTTACCAGATTTTTTATGCGCGAAACCAGTACGTTAGACTTTTTCATGCTAAAAAAATCAGTACTTTTCAGTACATTTTTATTCAAAGCAAAATTATGAATGTAAGTAACAGATAAGACTTTATAACATCACAGTACTTGCTTTTAAAAATATTTTGGTATATAAATAAAATATAGTTCATAAAAAATAAAAGTGTTATTCATTTTAACATGAGTGTACACATGATTGTACACAGAAGCCAATAAATAATTTTATATTTATGACATTTTTGAATATGTAGCAATACTGAGATCATTTCCATCTTCAGTGTTTAAATAGTCAAAGAATTCTATACATTTCATTTTAAAATTACTTTTAATTTGAATTTCACTTTAAAAATTTTTAATTAGAAGCCGGCTTCGCTCTTTGCGCAAGGAAGCAAACTTTATACTTAAGATCCTCCCGGTTGCTTCGTTTGAGTGTGGTGTAGGGTTCGAAATTTCAGACTTTGGTATCGATACTAAGTACTCATTCTGGCATCGAGCTCATGGTATCGATGCTCTAAAAGTATCAGGGAAAAGTATCGATACTACTCAGTATCGGACTCATTAAAATACGTTTTTTGGGATACTAAAATTATTTTATTCTTCAATCGTATATATAGTTATTTCCTGAATTTAAAACAATAAACATTTAAAATATTTGATTTTTATTTCATTGCAGAACTTACTTTCACGTTAGAAATAATTTCAACGTTAAATGTGTATGTACATTAGAGTGGTCCAAAATAATAAAGTCGGAATTATGATGCCGCCACCCCCTAGGATTGTTCTGAACCGAAAATAAATATACCCATATTTTTTCATTTTGAAATCAAAAAATATTACGGGAGTGCTCACAGCGCTCAAAGTTTTCCATGTATTTTATATGGGTAAAAACCAAATTTTCGCAAAAATGGTATAAAACTCTTGAAAGTCAATATTTTACAATCGTAAAACCGTGGTTCTCTTCAGGAGACTTCAAATATTAATATCCAGTTGTTTATTTAACCATTTTTTATGATTAAAGATTTTTTATTGGTCCCCCCATTGCATTTTCTAGGACCTATAAAATATAGTTACCATGAAAAAATTGTTAAAGGAACAATTGGGTATTATTACCGGGAACGTTCTGAAGATAAGCAAACTTTTCCGATCGAAAAATATTGATTTTCAAGAATTCTACACTATTTCTACGAAAAGTTGTTTTTTCCCCATATAAAATACATTGAAAACTTTGAGCGCTTTGAGCACACCCTAATTTGTTCTTTTTTTTTTCAAAATAAAAAAGTAGGGGTATATTTTTTTTTGGTATAGAACAATCCTAGGGGCTGGCGGCTTTAAAAATGCGACCTTATTTTTTTACATACATTTTTGGACCACTTTAATGTACATTCATACATATATATATATATATATATACTTTCACGAATTCCAAATTTTATTAAGAATTTTTGCAAACTTTGTGGGTATGCATTTTTGTAGCCTATTCAATAATGTGCAAGTTTGAATTAAAAGGCAACGGCAGTAGGCTAGACGTAAAGTTGATAGGTTACAAAACTTCTTAAGGTCTTTAAACCTACTGTATTCTTTATAAATAAGGCCCTCAAAGTTTAACTTATTTGGTTTATGTTATGCAACAGACTACACGAAATTTCAGATAATTTTAAGTGATGGAGAAAATTGAATGATAGTAATCCATATGAGCAAAGAAAATTGGGTTGCCAATGGAAGAAAGAATTTAAAAAGTGTGTTTTTCAAAAAGTATTCGATACTACGAGTACTTTGCAAAATATTGAGTAAAATCGCCAAATAAGGTATCGAGTATTAAAGTACTCATTTTTATACCCTCAGTATCGATGCTTACTCAATATCGATAGTATCGTTCGAACCCTACTGTGGTGTTGAAAATAAAAACAAAATTACATATTTTTTCAGTACCACTATTTAATGATTTCATCTTTATTTCCTCATGGCTTAAATTAATTTTTCAACCACGCAAAAAGTTTGCAAAACTGGGAAATCGCTAAAAGAGTATCTAACTCTTTGTCTTTTGAAAAACTTTATGAAAAAGCTCTTTTACAATGTCAATAAATTGTCAAAAAAGAATTGTAAGTTATAGGCAAAAGCCATTCGAATATTCAAATTTGTAGTTATTAAACTGAAAGATATTTTCGAGATAATTAACAACACTCGACAAAAAAACGTCAGCCTTCTTTTTAAATACTTTTAGCTCCATAATATTAACGCAACTGGTACGTAACGCCTCTGCGATAGGCCCATAAAACGATAGATCTTTTTGTTGTATTTATTTATTGCGTATATCAAACATCTGAAACTTGTCAACTATAATTAAATTATTTTCTTCTTACAGTACTTTTTACAGTACAGTTTAAGGAAGTTCCAACGATATGTAAAAACGTTAAGAAAATCT